ATCCATCGTCAGCCCGTGGATACAGGCGGCCAACATAAAGTCCCCTTGCCCACCGAATCTGCTTGGAGATTTGGTTGGGCCTTTTCTAGCTTATCACGTGCTATTTTCTGATAGTACGTATGCCAGTTTTTAATGTACTTGGTTTCTTGTTGTCAATCTCTTGTCCATGCCAAATGTCCATATTATTTATTTACTTTATTGCCTGTGTAGAGCTGTTGTCCCCCCGCCAGCGACATGATAATAAACGACCTCTCCAGTCTGTACTGGAAGCCGCTGCGGGCAGGCGACGTCCGCTGGAACTTCGAGAAGTTTCTGGTGGATCCGGAGGGGAGGGCCGTCATGAGGTGAGAGCAAATCTTGTCCCAGGGAACATGCGGATGCGATGTGAAGCAATTTCTAAACCTTTCAAACTTTATGTAGAAGAAAAATGAAGACTGGAAATGACATGACCTTTTCTCGGACCTTTGACCTAAGTTTCTGTCAGTGTCCCGGACGTTCCTAGCATGTGGAAATAAATACGGAAACAGTTCCGTGTAAATATGTAAACATTGAATTAACTCTCCTGAATCTGACTGATTCCCTGACTATACCCATGCAGGTTTACCGCTCCAGTAGAGCCTGTCGAGATGGAACCTGTTATCGAGGAGTTCATCCGTACGTGGACGGCCAAAAAGCAGAGGGAAATTTATAGCGACCTTCTCTCAGAGCTAAACATTAACTATTAAAATTCACGAGATGGACTAAAATCTATCAAACCAAACAACAAACTAACCGACTGAGCAACCAACCAACCAACCAAACTTCCGTCCACTCACACCACTATGGTAGAACAAATGTGGATTGGTTAAGCAGTAAGGCATTTGTTCTTACGATATCGATAAATTCTAATATATTATCACAATATGTGTACTATTATCATGGAATGTATACACGTATTTTGCAGTGGCAATACCAATAATGTGTATCGTGACTTATGGACAATCCCCTTTGAAGCCATAACTAGTGCTAGCCGGTGTGAACTGCCATCATTATTTATTTGCAATATACATGTACGTGTATCCATAAAAAAGCTATCGACCAAAGATACTGTAGAACTGAACGAAGCAGTTTGTTATTGTATGAATCGGACGATTTTATGACGCGGGAGCCACAAAGCACCGTTTGGTGTCGGGTTCCTGCTGACAGGGATGGACCCTTCCTCGGCCTTCGTGCGTTCAGCCGAGGGGGGCGACATCCGGCGTCCTTTGGGTTCAAACAATAAATCTGTCATGACAAACAGGTTCCGGGTACTGTTGTCTTTACGCCAAGAATGTTTGTGTGTATATCAGAGATGTTTTGATAAAGAGGGATCCGCCAAAGGCGCGATATGTAAGAGGAAAAGTAGATTTTCCTTGTTTGTATGTTGGAAGCGTTGCCGTTGGTAATCCTTCATTGCCAACATGGAGGTTCTCAAATATGGTTGTTGAGGAAAGTAGCAGGAAGGTTACCGAAGAACGGCATGTAAAATCCCTTTGTGTAACTGAGACCTCAGTTCATTATAATAAAGTTCACTAAGACTGGCAATCTACGTGTAAAGGGAGCCAACTCGAGGGTAAGATGACGACGAGCTGGTATTTCAGCACCCAGGACAGGGTGGATATTTTCCAAGCATGGGTTGAAGGGACAGTCCGTTACCTTCTACTGGCTGGTAATCGTCACGCGCTTTTATTGGCAGAAGCCGGGATCGGCTCTCGGAAAACGGGTACCAATCAGGAGAAGGTAATAATGAATAAGGCAATGGAGGCATAGACTAATTAGCGGGAATCTCTCTCAGGGCTGCAGGCTGGGTTTGATCGGCTTGTACCTCACCTGGCCAACTAAGCACACCCCGGAGGCTTTGCTTGCAAGCGCTTGAAGCCCTTCCTTGGCTGAGACAATTTCCTTGAGAACATGTTGGTCCTCGTGCCGAAAAGCTAGCGGATGTGGACATATTTATACTAACAGTCGGGATTTCAGGTTACGTCCAGCATGAACCTATATAACTTCCTACTTGTAACGCTTTTATGGACTTGCCGGCTGCAAAACATAGTCTTAACAGAGAACCGCGGGTGTGAGACCACCGAGGCTTGTCTGAACTGTGACGGAGTCGGCTTATCAAACCGGGACTTCGAGAAGTTAGAAATATTCCAACATAGCTTCTCTCGGACAAAGAAGGATAAAATATCCCTCGTCTTCTTAAAACGGAACCAACTGACTAAGGTACCTTGGTCCGGACTCGTGACAATTCCCAGCCTTAGCATTCTGTACTTGAACCACAACCAAATAGAGTCGTTTTCCCCAGGAACAGCGCTGAGGAAACTAAACAAGCTCACCGCCATTCACCTGTCATTTAACAGGTACGCTACATTTCACAATTATAAAGAAAAAAATATTTTCACATTTAGTGTTAACGTCTACGTACACCCTCTTTTACATGTATGTGAAGTCAATCGCCATTTTTGTATCGCAAGTAAGCCAAGTGGTTGCAAGAACACGTTGTTGGGAGTAAGGCCACCTACAGAGGCTAGCCTGGTAACCATCCCTTCTCTAGTTCTATACAATACTAAGCAATACCCCTCGCGGGGTCTAGTGCTTAGGGAAGTGGTTGTTCCCCAGCGTGACCGGTGGTGGTGGTGAGGAAAAAAAATAACAACAAACAAATAATAACAAAAACAAGTGCAATAACTATGTACAGAAGTCATGGCTGGGGATTGGCCACATTCCTACAGCTGGGTACAGCTAGGGAAGCCATAATGACTGGCTACCCCAGCTTTGAAGTGTTCAATTGACTTAGCCATTACCAGATGGTCAGGTAAGGCGTTCCATTCGATCACTGTTCGTGGGAAAAAGCTACCTCTAAGGCCCACTCTAGACGAAGCATTTCGCGACAGCGGCGATATTTCCCGCTGTCGGGACGCCGCTGTCGCGACGTCTTTATACACACAAATGTCTTCGCATCGAACATCGAACATCCGAATGTTCTAACGCGTGAAATCCAAAATGGCGGGGGAGCCGCCAATGTTTTTCCTCGCCGTGTGTCACATGTTTTTCTTTATGTTAGTCACCCGCGTCTTGTCCAATATGAGGCGACGAGCAAGGGGTGCACGCAGGAGACGGTTGAGATACCGGGACATGTTGCTGACACGTCGCGCCCTGCTTACCTCCCCGCTGCCATTGCTTTGGCAAAAGGTGGTGATCCTGTCCACCGGAGGATCTGGCGATACGTTAAGAAACCCGCGACCTTTTGGCAAAAATTTGTTCAAGGCACACTGTGCGACACAGAGTTTTACAGGCGCTTCAGGATGTCGAGGGGAACATTTTAGATGCTCTGTGACAAACTGAACCCTGACCTCCCGCTGTCGCGAGTTCTCTATACGCACTTTAAGTTGTCGGGGACTCCCGCTGAGTTGTCGGCCGACAACTTTGGAGCTGTCGTCAGAAAATTTCATGACAGCGGGACTACGCTGTCGGGAATCCTCTCTAGACGGCGTTCCTGCTGTCGGCGT